TCCCCAGCTGCCAAACAAAACACTGCAAAGACAAAGGCCTGAAAATATGAATAAACAGCCCAGTTCCCTACATGACTGGACTTCAACAGATGTCCCCACTTTATTCTCAAAAACTCCTCTCACTGATTCCCCCACCACATGTAGTAGAAAGTAGACACCCTCCAAGCTGAGAGGCGATGAGAGGAAGAGTCTGTACCTTCCAAATCCTTCCAAAGATGTATGTTGTTGAAATACTTCCTTGCTTCCTAAAGGAGATATAGATGGAAACCCACACTAGGAAACCAAACATTGTCATCTATTTTCCAGGATTGGGGATGATGATATGATCCTCAGTACTCTTTCAGTATATCAAAGAAACTGATTTACAGCTCTCAGTGTGAAAGACACGCTTTCACAGAAACATTCATACCGCACATAAAAGACTTTCAGATTTGAACTGGGTGAACTTTTACTACAGCACATCACTTTTCACTGGCTCACATAAGGTTTTATAAAGGTCTTAGTGGCAGCACTTTAAATGAGCGCTAAACCTCATTAAGCACTTACCGCATTCCAGATGATAATGCTGTGATATTCGTGCAGCCCATCACAGCCAGATACCTCAGAGGCCAAACCCCACCTTTCCCAACAGCATGAAAACCGTCACATTCATCGAATCTTACTTCAAGGATCCCTTTCAAGTTCAACCCTTATTCTCCATTTCTCCATGAGTTTGTGAAAGTGTTTCTTCACATAGTGGTGTCGCGTCCAAGGAGAGTGTGGGAATTCACAGCAGTGCTGTCAGACTTATCCCCGAGCTACGTTCCACTACAATAAGTTTTCCCTGTGGCTATTCCCTAAATTTTTTGCTGAGAGAGGTTCTGCCCTATCCCATTGCCTAAGTTCCCCATTTGCCCTGCAGTGCTTCTCAGACCTCATTCCAGCCATGAACAACTTTGCACTCCATAAATACCTGTAGACTGTCAGCCTCTTATTTCTACAGAACAAAATCCTTCCAGTAATCCCCTATATAGTTCTTCTCCTTGGCTGAGAAGTTAAAGGTGATATACTTTCTAGTCTGAAAATTTAAAATGGATCTCAGATCAGATATGCTTCTTTGACACTCATGCATGTAAAAATAGCAAAGCCCAGGTCTCGGTGACCTCCTCTGGATATATTAAGATATTAAAGCTAAACATATGCAGTAAGCGTTTGCAGGACTGAGACTACAGGGACTTAGTACACCACAGTCACAGTGACAACTTGCCTTACTAATTTAGTAGGTGCAAACTTAAGATTCAAATCATGGGCTTTTCCTGAAAGTAGCAAAAGATTTTTTCATTAAATATTATTCAGTAATATTCAGTAATGTTGGCAGTAAGCTAATCAGTTGATTTTTGGCTAAACCAACGTATTTCTCCTATCATGAACTCTTATTGTCAACAAACAAAAAAAAAGCTGAGATTTACTCTGCTATGTGGAAGACCTGACATCTAGTCCCAGGAATTTCAGTGGTTAATAATGCAAAAGCCACAGTCGGATTATGGCTGTAGTGGAGAAGCCGAGATTCATATTGTTCAATGGCACCATCTTCAGTCAACTACAAAGCTGCTTATTAACTGGCTTTAATAAGAAGTCACGTTCATCTGTCCTAAGTCAGGAAAAAACGTGGTATCAGTGCTTCTGAACTTGCACGATGTGGTGGTACAATGTCAGGAAATTTACTGCTGCAGAAGAAACATCTAGAGTATGAGTTCCCCCAAAAAAAGGGAAAATGTCTACACATTTTGGCTGCTTTAAACTGAGAAGAGAAAAATGATGATGACATACAGTCACTTCTGGGAAAGTCTTGTCTTGGTTTATTTTTCTTAGAGGGCTGATGGGTTTTTTTTAATTATTTGCGAAGTAATTTGTACATCCAAATTTTTAGGTTGTTTCTTCATTTTGGATAGCTGGAGAAGATCGAGTCATGTAGCATTCTGGCCATATAAACGCTCAGAAAGATCCTATAAATTAAATACCGTTTACCAAAGTTTGGAATTAACTTTCGCTCCTTTGACAATAGTACTTGCTGCCCTAATTCCTGATCTTTCTTTACGCTTCAAAACTAAAAGTATTCAAAAAAAACATTTAACTTGATAGTAGAGTTAAAGCCTATCCTCTTCTTAGGTGGGAGTGTAGATGTTTGTGGGAGTCTAGTACCATAAATGTTTATTCTTATCACCTGAAAGTGTCTTTTAGCTGAAAATAAGGTTATTGGACCATTTGTTTGTGAGGCAGAGTTTTAGAAAATGGTTTTATTTCTATGTTTACCAGAAACGTATAGCTCATTGCCAGCCAATGCCTCCCCATCTTCTTCCTTTCTCCCTGTACACATGCGTGCTTTCAAAATGGGACTAGTATGTGTAGGCACCTTATTCTTACAGTTAAACCTAAGAGAACTGAATGAATCTGAATCTAAGAAGAGCTTTTTCGTCCTTCCGACTCTGACGAGTATTTCACGGTTTGTGTTTCCTTTTCAGCTGATCCCCTGGTTGGAAGTATTGCCACCCAGTATATGACTAACAGAGCAGAACACGACAGAATGGCCAGACAGTGGACCAAGCGATATGCCACATAGGAACCTACTCTAGGATTTGCTGGACCTGTGCAAGCACATTCACTAAGTGCATCAATAGCCCTTCCCTTCATTCTTATTTTTTATTAAATTTTGAACCATTTTGTGACAAAAGGTTGTCCTTCCTTTCTTTTTGGTTTTATTTTTATTTTTATTTGTTTTGGGTTTTTTTGTTCTGTTAACTTGAAAGTTGTTTCCCTCAAATGTAGACAGGGAATTTTGGTTATCAGTGCAAAGAATGTTGGATCTGTAATAGTATAGAGCTTTGTCACAAAGCTTTGTATTAATGTGTGGGGGTTTTTTCTTTCACGTGGTTTTTGGGAAAACAAACAAATTCAGAATTATATCTCATTTCTACTTAAATGTAGTGTTTAGGGTTATTTTTTTGTACTGAAGTCTTTAATGGTGGGTGCATGCTACTGGGAACAAGTTTTGTATAAAAGCTTAAAATCAAGAATCACTGTGCATTACTAAGACTGTGTTTATCACTAGCCTTCTGTTTCCCACACAAAAGGCTATTGCGTTGAACAAATTAATATGTATTTTGATTTACTTAAAAAAAAAAAAAAAAAGTGCTTGTAAATTTCTTAGGGACCTGCCACTTTTGACTGTGGATCAGTTGATGTACACTTGTATTATTAAAGCACTCAATAAAACACTGTGGCTGATAAATGCACTTCTTGCAAGACGGTGCTTTTGCGTCTGTGCAGTAAGGCTGCATAGTCCTCACACAATACAACTGCAGGTTAAGCAGCTATTTTAGACCTAAGCTATTCATTTCTTCTCAACAATGCGTTTCTTAACTTAGAATTCTTCATTGTGTATATCTTTCATATACAAACATCTTCCAAATTTTAAGGCCTTTCTTTCGCATGCCGGTGCTCAGCTCAACTATTCTGAAGCCTTTTGCTTCATCTTTTGTACTATGGCTTCACTATATCCGTCTTGTCACATTTAAAATAGTTGGCTACAAAAATAGCCTTGCAGTGAAGGCAGCATATTGATGATGATTTTATACAGCAGGCCTCATTTTGTGTTTCTGCAAGCTCCTTAATTGTAAAAGCAACTCTTATTTAAAAAAACAAATGAAGGTTTTCGATGGGAAAATTGAGCCCATTGCACCAATCATTCCCAGCACGTTCAATGGCAAGGGTAGTTCAATTCAGATTTGACCTTCAGGCTAATTTTAGATATGCAGCCATAGAAGGAAAACTTCTATTTGGCTAAGGAAATGTGTGGGTGTTGCGATTTAGAAAATATATGCTGTGATGCTGATATCTAAATGTTCTTTGTGCTGCAAGGCATATTGGAAAATCCCTGTCTCATGTAATTAAACGTTACAGATGCTATATACAGTGCTTGCCTGCCCTCTCCCCTCTCTCCTTGCCCCTTATGTTTAAAGAAGATCCTATCTTGAAAAGATACATTACAATAGGGATAGTATAAAGATACAGGGAGACTCAATCCCACTACGCTCCAAGCCGATCCAATCATTCTGAAAACTAAAGCAGCCAAGGTGACATGGTAGGGCCTCTGCGCCAACCACTGCACTGCTCCACATTTCCAGACTGATTTGTTTTTCCCTCAGCCATTTGCTAATGACTGAACAGACGTACAGCTTGAATCTACTGGTGAGTTGTCCTCTGTGTGAAGAGAAGCTGAACGTTGACTTTGTTGTAGGTAGTATATAACTACCACCCTGAGAACCACGGGGATCTCAAAGAAATAGTCAATCTCTTTTGATCGAGGCAAACAGAGAGTCTTTGGTGTCTGTAGAAGCCAACGGTTTACAATCCCAACCATACAACATTTTGAGGCCAACAGATCCTAAACACAGATGTGAAAGAACAGTAACAGTTCAAAAATACAACAAAATAAAACCCCAAAAACAGACTTCTCTGAGCCAGAACACCTTCTCAGGAGAGCTGTTATATGTGCTTCCCTTGGAAGTTTCTTCCACCATACAACTTGCTGTGAAGTACCTCCATGTCTGAAAGGAACCTTCCCGCTGTAAAAATAGAACAAAGGGGTAAAAGGATTAAAAAGAACAACTCCATCTTGCCCAGTACAGTAACTGCGTTAGTTCTCCTCTTATCCCATCTGCTGAAGAGATTCCTGCCATAAAAGACCTGTATCCCCCAAGACAGCAATTAATGGGCAATTTCAGATTTCTTATGAATTACTTTTAAGCGTCTGCCATTCTGCAGCCTTTATTTACACTCAGCTGAGCAGAATGCAGTAGTTTTCCAGGTCCATTTTCAACCTACTTGATAAAGAAGTCTTTAACTCCTACTATCTTTTTTTTTTTTCACAAAATATAAAGAAGACATTATAAACAGAAAACCCTATTGTATCTCTAATGAAGATGTAACTGAAAGACAGCTGAGATACCTTGGAGGGGAAATCACAGAATTCTTAATAAATGTCTATTCTCAGTTCATCAGCTCTCACTTGCCTTCCTTACCAATCAAAAGCTGCGCAGTTTGAATTTGGAGGTAAGTTGCCCTCTGTGTGAAGCTGAACAGTGGTTTTGTCCTAGATACTATAAAACTACTGCTTTAAGAACCACGGGGATCTCAAAGAAATAATCAGAAAGGATCAACCCATGTTGATTAAAGCAGATGCAGAGTCTTCTGGCGTCTGCTGGAGCCAAATGTTTGCAAGTCTGGCCATAAAACATTCTCCTCTATTTGCAAATCTGCACTCTTTGCCTCCCAAGTAATTCTTTTTCTTCATCTGCTAAACCTGGGAAATATGAAGCGTTATTTGAAACCTGCTGTTGTCGCTGAGAAGAAATGATCCATCCCCAACAGAACTCAGTCTGCCAGCAGAGCCTCACTGAACAATAATGTATTGTCATAGTCTCTTTTTCTCCTGTTCTTTTTCCTACATATAGAAAATATTGGACATTATTCTGTCCTACCTTTGCTCTTCAGATCCTCTGCAAATTCAGCTGATTACTGCTTTCTCTTTTATGCCAAATCATCATTCTCACTTCTTCTAGACAGTGAAGTCCACATGTTGCCCTCCTACAACTGATGTGAAGATCATTCAAATGACTCATGCGTAGTAAAACACATTCAATAGCATACAGTTGTCCTAAAACAGCGTATAAAGGCCAGCACTTCAGCAAATCTCAGTATTTTCTCAGGGACACACAAATGCTAAAACTGGGTTTCATTCTTTAAAGACATCTCGCAACTTCTTTGAATTCAACTGCAATATGGAGTAAACAATATTTAATTTCCAGTAACCCCAGCTGAATGTCAGTGTCCCATACCCTTTGAGTTCAGCTCAGATGAAGCAGAAGTCAGGGAACTCTCCAAACTGTGTTTACTCATTCACTAATGATTGCATTGGCCTTCACATCCCCCATCTAACTCACCATCGGATTTCCCTCTCCAGAAAACTACAGAACATAGCTGAAGTTAAGGTACCCAAAAAATCCTGTATTCCTAGATATAGCATTTCCAGACTGCTCCGGGAGTGAGTTTTAGCAGCTCATAACCCTTTTGACAACATGTGTTGTGGGCGATTGCTGCCAAACAGTTAAAATCCATTAAAAACAGCTGCTGTGCCACGAATAAGGCAGGAATAATTCCTTGTCAGAGATCTTTCTTCAGGTTTTCATATTGTGGGCTGCAGATGGGTACACAGATCCTGTCCCATGCCCAAAGAACAGGCAGCAGCCCACAACCCTTCTTCCCTACTACCTTGTGCAATGACACCATGTAAGTATAAAAGACCAGAGGTCTTGAGCCCTGTAAATCCCAAAATTGGGCCCCTCTTCAAGGCCCTCTCAGCGTCTTAAATTCTGGCCCAATGCGTGCTCCGGGTGCAGTGCATGCTCTGAGCTGCTCTTTCAGCATGTCGTTACAGCATGCTCCTTCTCCCTGGCTGTCTTATCTCCGTCATTAATCCCTCTGACTTACTCCTTCTCATTCACCCTTTCCTTCTCTCTGGTTGCTTTCTTCTGCTTGACTGATTCATCACTTGCAGCTGAGAGGCCACCCAAGGTACTGATACCAGTTCAAATAGCTCTTCCTGAAGTTGGCTGAGCATAGTATTTTCTTTGTCCCCCAAAGTACATGCCTAGAACGTGCCCCCAGGGCCCCATCTGCTCCCTCTTGCTTGAGGCAGTGCCTACAGCAGCAGGAAAAGCAGAGGCTCTGCTGGAGTACAAAGATGCCATGCAATGATTCAGACAGTGGAGCGACTCCCAGTTCCTGCATCCCCAGTGTTATCCTAGGGTCTCTTTTCTCCTTTCCAGTTCTCAGAAACTTCTCTTGTCTCTGAAGATGGACGTCTTGCCCCAGGCCCAATGTGCTTGCCTGCATTTTGAGTTGGACAGGCTAAAACAAGGACTCTTAAGTAAAAATTCTGGCACCTCCAAAGTCCGACAGTCCAGCCTCAGCAGCCACAATTCCTGCAGAGCCAGCTCTGCCTTCTGTCTTTCCATTCTCAGTTGCTCTTCACTTTTCCTTTCCATTTCCTTCTGTTTCTCCTCCTATCCTTTCCTCCACGACATCAATACTAAATCTTGAAGCTTCCTTCTCCCCTCTTCCCTCACCTCAGTCATGGTTTTGTTCTTCCCTCAGTGCTAACAAGACCATGTCACTGTAACACTGGGCCTCCAGGAGCTGCTTGAAATCCCCTGATTTTTAGGTCTTAGAAGCAAGAAAGAGCTTCGTATGAATGAAGTGCTTCCTCCTTGTGCCATGCCTGGCACTGGCTATAAACCAAATCACTTCTCCCACACGTCATTAGCAGTAATGAAATCCGGGCTGGCCTGCCTTCTTAGCATGACATCCATATGCAAATGTGTTTCATCAGCTCAAACAATCTGCAGAGCCAATGCATGGCTGCTTGGGATGCCTCCAGCAGCCTCTCTCAGGTCACAACTGGAATATATTTGGGCGATACTATTTACCAGGAAGAGTTTTATGATACCTTTAAATCCATCATTCTGCACCCTAATTCTGTCTTGAACTTTAATAGGGTCCTGCAGCACTTCAGGATAATGAAAAGGGCAAAGTAAAAGATCCCTTTCATGTCTACTTTGATTGTGAAAGAAAGTAGTCATGGGCTAATGGAAGGTTGAAATAAAGACAAGGCTACTAAGGCATCCTAATCCATTGCCAGTCCTAAATTAGAAAAATCTCGCTTCGCATAATGGCTAAGTGAAAGCTGTATTTTATTCTATAGATTTTGCAGAACTGAACCAAAGAAACTCACCACTGTCCAGATGTTCCAACAGTAAACATGGATGGTCAGACCATGGATTTCAGGAGAGGCTTTCTAGGGAAATGCTTCCACTGGGAAGAGCTTCCCAGCACCCCCACCTCCTCCACCTCTGTCAGGCTGCGCCCAGGACTCCCCCCTTAGCAGCCCCTTGGGAAACAGGGCTGGAAACAAGCACCTCAGGTCATTCCTTATTGTCACTGCTCCTCAAATACACTCACCCACAACAGGCATTTGTTGCTGCAGAATCAGCAGTGAGGTCCCCAGTTGTGTCACTGAGGACCTTGGGGTCAAGAAAAACAAAGGGTCACACTTCAGTTTCTGTGAAATGCCTTCCTTCTTTGCAGTTGACTCATAGCCTTTGTAAGGCCCTGAATGGAGCCTCTGCACATGAATGGAGCTCCTACCACACAGGTTTCAATGCAGACCCCACTC